TAAATCATTATTTTTCAACTTTTCGATTAAGTCATTCGAAGCGACATCGTAGGGTTTTCTACTATGGTTGTAGAGAATTTAAGGGTGGGTCTAACCCGGAAAAAAACAGCAACATTAAATGGACCGCACTGGACAGCACAACAAAATTCTGAGTTTTTTTCGCGCCTATTACTTTGTTCTGTTTTAACAGATCAGATTTTAGTGGTGTTCAAGATTATGCTCATCGGAGAGTGAAAACGAACCGAATTCGAACTGAATCAAACTCGATTCAGAAAAATCCTGTTCGATTCGTTCTTTGATGCGTACTATCGCAAGTCAATACCTTCTAGAACGCTTTTCAACGTCTACATAACAGAACTTTCAATATAATGGGTGGCTCTCAAAGAATCACCCTCTGAGTAGTTTTCAAAAACTTCTTTCAATCTCTGATCGTTCCGCTAGCACTTTTTTCAAACGATAACTTGTAAAATTCTCTACAAAATTTCATAGAAGAATCTCTTCAAAAGTGTAACTGGAAAACTAGATCTGATCTTTTGTACTATATTTTAAAAAGGCTCGTTCTCAAAGTAGCTTTTTTAAAAATTCATTATTTCTCCTCTGACTAAATAGATTTCAGATTATTGCAAACCAGGCTTCCTATGGTTTTAAGTGTACTGTTTCTAATAGGATTTAGTAAAATAGTCTTCAGGTAGTTTTGTGACGTTCCTTGTGGTCAATATTTTCGAAAATACAGATTGAAGCTGTTGATTGCTCTTCTTACTTGCACTACTCATCGTAGAAGAAAGCTTTTGCAAAAGTTCTCTCTGATCTATATTGTACAAAAAAAAAATATTTTTCTTCAAGATAGTAATAAATTTGAAGCCGTGTTAATGAAAAATTCGGTTTAACTAAATAAAATTTTTAGAGAACCTGTATTGAGAATCCTTAAAACGTGAATAAAGTAGGAATTATAAGATGTTTTACTTGGGAAGGTGCATAGTATGGCAAAAGAAAATACTCGCTCAGCCGATAGAAATTTTCGTGGATTATAAAATGGTGTACTTAAGAGAGAGTCCACCACAGGATCGAGAAACCCCATACTCCCAAAAAAAAATTTTTTTTTTACGGATTAAAAACTTTTTGTTTTAGGCTGGTTTTCTAGCATTTTTATTGTCCCATTCGATGCACGATCCAAATTTCTGGGATCAACTAACCTTGAGAGATAATTTCTCAAAATACTGATTTTTGCTTGATGACTACGTAGTATCAATTCTGATTTAATCAGTGTTTAGTCATCAGTATGGTCCTCATAACTTTTTTTGTAATATGATCAATCAAGCTAATATTTTGGGTATAGTAGTTTCACCTCATGGGCTATCAATTCCATAAATAAAATGAGGGGGTCAAAATTTTCGGGAGTATGGGTCCTTTAAAAATTCCTCGATGGTCTCATGGACGCCCTCTTAACATTTTTTATTCATAAACAAACAGCAATTCAAAATTGAAACAGCAAGAATGAAAGCTTGAAAATGAGTCTGATGAGAGTTTAGTATTACTAATCAGATATAGTTTTACATTTATCCGATTGAAGAGATACTGTTATGCGGTTTTGTAGAGAATTTTACGGACTATGCTTTGAGAAAAAGATGTGCCCAATCATTAAGAAGTGGAAGAGATATGTGAAAAATACTTAGAGAGTCATTCTTTTAATGGGCGACCCGCTCAATTCTTTACATATGCTTTCAAGGTTGTTCACGCATGTTTTTATTGATAAAATATGAAGTAACATTTGTGCACTAAATTTTGTGCCACTCGTTAATCTATTATTTCTTAATTAGGACAATATGTATATGGAACTTAAACGTATTTATATGACGAGATTTTAATTTTGGCAAATACTGTAATCTTTATGTGACATATGGAAGGGAAATAGAATTTTATGAAATGGTATTCTCATATTATAAAAGTGATTACAAAAAAATTTTTCTTTCTCACTTGAAAATCGTTGTTGTAGTAGCAAGCGGATCAAATGTTTGTTTGTCTTGTGATTGAATTCAACGCTTTTAACCCGAAAACAAACACCTGGTGTAATAAGTTCTTCTTCTTCGTCGGAATACGCAGATAATGGACTAAGATCGGCAATAAAAGCATACACTACTTCCATAATGAATAGGACGTTCCCACTAAAAAGTTTGGCTACATCAATACTTCGACTACAAGACGTATAGGCTTGAAATGATCCAAATGCCTCGTCATCTTTGGCCATTTCTTCATAAACAGCGATCTGTTCCTTCGTCAATTCGGCTCCTCGATAAAGTGTCTTTTTGATTGTCAATTTTTGATTAAATGGATCATCCCAGAGTAATAAACAAAATGGACCTAATGTACGGACTTTACTTCGCCATACTTGTTCATGTTCTTTGTCTCCTACTAATCTCATCGCTGCATTCAATGTTTTATACAGAAAACTTCCCAATGTGTAAAGATAAGCACAACGTTTCCATACTTCCTCCATTCCCGCGTCCTTCTTTTCTCTGAGCATTTTAGCTAATTTTTCGGCTTCTCGTTGTTTTCCAATATGTTTTCCTTCTTCAATAATACCATGAGCTGCTTTTTCAATAAGCATTGGAATCATGTTTGGCTTTTTTGAAGGTAAATCATTTGGTTCAAGTTTCAGGTCTCTTCTGACTTCGATGACAAATGGAGATACCCAACCATATTGACCACCAAAAGAACGTCCTACACTAACCGGAAGGTCTATAAAACGCGCTTCTCGTAAATGTTTATCTTGTCTCTCACGCTCTACTCGTTTTATTGGTCTTTGCTTGTAGTCATCAATGTTCGATATTTGCAGATTACTTTCAAAATCAATATAATAATCATCCAATAGAGCTCGTGGTTGTTTGTCTTGAAATGCCTCTTCGATGATTAAATTTTCTAAATCTGAATAATGATTCCATATGACTGTATCGGATGGTGAAAATGGATCGGGATTCGCTTTCCACATCCATTCAACATGTTTTAAAAAATTATTTGATGTTGGAGATGCATATGAGGCCATAATTAATAATGATTCTATCTTGTTTTCAATATGATAGATTTCTTAATTAATCAACTGTTTTTTTATCTAAAAGCGTATAAAAAAAATAATAATGAAAAAATGACAAAATAGAAAAACTTCACTCTGGAAGTCTTATTAAATATCGAATTTTTGTAAAACTCTTTCAGGTCATAGAAAGTATTCTTAAATCATCGAAAGTTTCTGTATATTTCAGAAAAACAATGAAGGAACTCTAAACTTTTTGAATTTTTAAAATCTGTTGTTATCTCCTTCGAATCGTAGATGTTCTACTCATTTCTTGTTCTTTTTTATCATTGTTCAAATTTTTAAATTTTAGACTATATTTAAATACACAAATCAAATAAGAGTTGACTCTTATAATATTGGAGAGTATGAAATTTGAGCAACATTTAACACAATCATTATTATTTAAATTTATTCTTTTTATTAACTTACGAATTTTCTCAAATAAAGTGATCAATCATGTCAAATAGAATAACACAATATCAATAAATCGAAGTTGATTACACAACGCAAAACAATACGTAGACAAGTTTTTAATCAATTATCAATGAAAGACATTTTATCAATTTTTATTTTTTATTTAATTGGAACTTTTTTGTTTTTATTCAGATTTAGTCTAACGAATGGATCGAAAAGTTTAAAACAAGATATTTAGTCGTTTTCAGTTAACGTGAACTTATTTCGTAGAACAACTAACGACTTAGATTTAGAAATTGAATTGGATGGTCTTTCCCAATATGAAATTCGATATTATTTTATAAGATTTTATTCAAGAATCGTAAAGTAATCTTTAGAAGATTTCGAAAAAAAACATTTTGAATGAGGGTGTGGGTGTGGGTGTGAGACAGTGAAGACGCCATCCACGCCCACACGCTAACTCACGCGCACAGTCATTCTGATTCTCGATCAATGTCATAATTTTGGGTGTGGGTGTGTTGGGGGTGTCGGTGTGGGTGTGCATGGGAACAAAGAGACGTCAACAGCCACACCCATTCACCCATATTCGCACTCACACATGCATCTACCCACACACCCACATCCTCTTGTCATTTATGCAAGATCTGAAGAGGGGCTATCTGCCTATGCATTTGTCTCAGTTTCGAAATTTCTGACGAAGATTGGATTTTATTGAAAGGGGAGGCCTTAAGTTCAACTGGCTGCGTTGGAAAATTCTAACTGTTTTCAATTCTCTATTATGGACAAAAGATTTCATTGTCCGGTCGATTTAACAAAGTATCCATTCTAACGCTCTGATTGGCCTGAGCAACACCATGCTTTGTCGGTACTGAACTAAAGAAAAACTCCGCTGAAATCGGATTGGCTGGGAACTTTTTCTTTCAACTCATCAGATTTAGGCAAGGGCGTTTTCACTACTGTAAGGATCAAACATAGTGTTCTCCGCGCCGATTCAAAGGTTTTGAGAGGTCCTCTCTCATAGGCTCCGAACAACGTCATGTTTAGTCTTTACCATACGCGAGAAAAGCGTTGCTGAAATCTGACTGGTCTCGATGAAAAGCAAGCGATCGCTTTTTTCTAATCAACCCAAAAGTAAGTGTTCTTCAACTCACATACAAAAGAGGCCCTAACAAAGCTCTGCGATCGGCACAGAGAACACTATGTTTTGCCGTTGCCATGAAGGAAAAGCCCCTTGTTGAAGTTTGATTGGTCGAAAGAAAGAGGCTCTTACGAGGGAAGGTATTCAAGTGTGACGCGCCGTTTTGAATCGAATATATACGAGTTTGTAGAGCTCGATGAGACTAGACAAAGCCTAGAAGGGTTCGTCCCCATACCTTGTACTTCTTGAGTTTTGACCGTTTTACTGCATTTTCGACCTATGGCAAGGCTTATAAGAAGAAATCAAATTACGAGATTTTGATCTGAAACTTCGCCCACAGATAGCTCTCATAGCCATTAGAATGTCCTAAAAATTTCAGCTCAAAAGAATGTTTCCTTCTTGAGATATTGGATAATAAAGACACTCGATTTTCTGCCTTTGCTCGTGACATATGACCATATTTCAGATGTTCAGTATCTCAAGAAGGAAATATTCTTTTGAGCTGAAATTTTTAGGACATTCTAATGACTATGAGAGCTATCTGTGGGCAAAGTTTCAGGTCAAAATCTCGTAATTCGATTTCTTCTTATAAGCCTTGCCATAGGTCGAAAATGCAGTAAAACGGCCAAAACTCAAGAAGTACAAGGTATGGGGACGAACCCTTGTAGGTTTTGTCTAGTCTCATCGAGCTCTACAAACTCGTATATATCCGATTCAAAAGGACGCGTCACACTTGGATACCTTCCCTCGTTAGACAAACAGATTTAAGCATGAGCTTTTTCGCCATTGTTAGGTAAAGCGTAGTGTTCTGTTGGTTGTTCTACGGGTTAGTAAGGGTGTTTTCTCATAGGGTTCAAAGAAGATTATACTTTGCCCTTACAATAGTGGAGTCCTTTCCCTATTGAGATTCTCAAGTTCACAAAACTCGAGAAACCATGTTGAAACTCGAATTTCTAGACGTTGAATGCATTCGATCAACTTCCAGACAATATCGTTATTATCGAAAAATACCCTTTCGTTTCGGTGAAAAACTAGCTTGAAAACGCGTATAAAATTATTTATAAAAATCGCTACCTCATGTGAATGATTCTGAATGGATTGCAGTGGCTATAGTTGATTCAAAATAACATAAAATGCTCGAATCATATGGTTTTCTTCCTTGGAGTAGATCCTAGGTATTAGAAAGACGCCAAGGTAACACTCGAAAAGACGTATGTGCGATTCTCAGATATGGCTTATAAAGTCACAGGTGTAATCTTCAGATAGTCCTTAAAAAGTTAACTTTTAGACCCGCGAAAAGCCCTGAAAGAGTTACCTTTGGTACCCCCCAATAGCCTTTTTAAAGTTACGCTGGTACTGATTAAACAATTATCATTTATTTGAGCATTACATACTCTCTTTCTATCGTAATTCATAAAACATCGGCTGGGTGCTATTGGTAAATGTGGATGCGTAAGTGAGCTACTAATGCAGAGTTTACGCACTTTGGAGCTCACTGCTTTTTGAACTTGAAAAGTTCGTTCGACTTAACGAATTCTACACTACGCCCACTAACTATGAATCTTCTTACTCGAAGGGCGTCTACGAACTGGGTGTTTATACTTGGTGTGGGTGATGAACTTTCATGCAAGAAGTGGGTTGGCGGAATGGATCTGTATGCTGAATGTGGATGAGAGTTTTTGGTACTGGATGTCGGTTCAAGTCATTGGTCGTCATGTTGGGTCTGAGAGATGAAACTCCAACCAAGGATCTTGGCTGTAAAATGGGTCTTCATGTTGGTGAGCATGTGGATGTGAAATCATCATGCCAATGTACTGGTTGACTAAAAACTGATGGCCCCTTTTTGTATGTAATTCTAAGGAACATCTTTTGCAGCGTCGAAAATCAGATACTTATAATTTCGTTCGTTTTAAAAGCAAAGGACGCATATATAATACCAGATGTTGAATGTGAGTTGTAGAGCGTTTCATGCTGCATCTTACAGTATATTTTTATTTTATTTGTAATCAAATATATTTAGTAATTAAAATATGATATACAAAGTGCAACCAGTCATTGTCGGCTGCCCGGTAGCTGTAAAGTATGTATCTTCATGCTGGATAGGGGTGTGAGCGATCACTTTTGGTGTTAGATATGGTTTAGTCCTCCGCGGAGATCGGATTGATGGATCGAGGTGGGTGGAGATTCTGTCCACAATAATGGGTGAAAAGCTTGGAAGTGGGTGTGTGATGGATGTGAGTATAACCGTTGATGTAGATATAAACAAGCGGAAAGTCATAGACTCTAATGTAAGTGGGAGTCAGTCGCCACTACGACTGGTAGTAGATGGATAGCGTTGAGAGATTACCTCGACGTAGTTATTTCGGGATTTATCTATCAGGATTTACTACTTCCAATCTCATTACAAAACAACCACATCCACACTCTCAACCTCACCTATAATAGAGATGTACCAGTTCCAGTTAACTGAGATCTCGTTAATTGGAACGGGAGTATTCATAAACTACATCCATACGCACATCCTCACCGTCACCATTATCCACACATCTTATACATTGAAGAAGCATGTTGGTACTATACAAAAATGCTAACGAGCCTATCAAAAAGTTCCAATAGTCCGCGAAGAAAAACGTCCTGATAGCGGCTATAGAAAAGACCTGAGGAAGACGTTGAGTGTTGACAATAGAATGGATATCAAAATTGAATTCTATTTGAATACGTG